AAAGTATACCCAATAAAATAATATTACAAATTCCTTCTCAGATGAACCTTTGCTGTGCCGTTAAATAGTTCGGTATTTTCTCTTTCCTCTGTACCTGTTTAAAAAGACAATAAGCACATCTCTGTTCTTCGCCTTTACTCTTGGTTTGTACCTCCTCATCTTGTTAAACGATTTGTAAGTGTTTACAATTAATTCCATATGCCATTGGATTTGTTGGTAATCATCCCATGTGTGCTTAATCAGGGCAAGTGAACTCTGCGGTTACTTTAGCTTCCGTGCATCATATTCCATATTCAAACTATGGAATCAACGGATTCGTAACATTTTCAAGTATGTATAATTCTTTTCGGAAAAATGCTTCAACCGACAGCATGCATCACATTTCATATTTGATATGAATACTAACCAAATATGAACTAATCGTACCGACATGACCGACAACAAATATTCATCTCAAAGTTGAAAAGCTAGAAAGCACTGGACAGCTGTTTCGACCTGGTTGGGTCTCATCAGCAATGAGAATCTATCAACCCAACTGGGGATCGAACATGGGACCTCATGGGCAGAATGCAATCATGCTACCCACTCGGCCACCGGGCAGCTAATCAGACCATTTTTCATTTTCCCAGTTTCAAATTGAACCAAATCCCCCATTACTCACTTGAAGTGTTTATCTACTTCATTCACACTATTGTTCTCCCCCCTCTCCACTTACTTTCCGGACCGTAGAACATAGTGGATTCGTTTGTTTATTGAAAATACACGCGAGTTGACCAGACAGAACTGACCGGTATCCGATCAGATGTGATTAAATAGAAACACAAAGCACGTGTTTATTCAACAGTTTCGTCTAAACCGAGTTCTAAGCCACGGTTAAAAATAAACCCGTGTGTTTTGTAGCTCCTCATGACTGCGGAGGTGAATGTGTCTGGCCGGAAATACGATCTGAACTGGATAATTCAATTTGCACCATTGGTTCATTCCTAGCATTTGCAGTGTCGTGATTGTTAGCCTAGCACGTGCCAAACGTTGGATTACCTTGCTGTGATACGCTTTTTCTTTTTATGATCCTTCACCTTGTTTGATATGCGTCAATATCAGTGCGAATGGTCCGGGTTCCAATTAATGAACCAAAGCAAACGATCAATGTGGATTGTTTTCACTGGCTGTAAACCAAACAAATGTTATGAACTAACGGAATTCGATGCGTAATTGGTTAAAACACAAGTTCGAACCCGACAGTTGATCATTATTTGTCCAGGTGTGCATATCAGACAAAAGAGTACTATTGCCGTTGCTTCACTCAGTTCACCAGGGCAGACGATCAACCTCGATGTCTGAAGACCAGGTGAGTTTCACTCGCTAAACGATCTCTTTGCAACCATAACAACAACGGGCCATATCGACCTAAGGAAGGCATGAATCATATCCGACACCAAAGAATGTCTGCTGCCATCAGTCAGTTGCCCTAGCACTGGACTGTGCAAGGAATATAGTCGCACCCACGATGGTAAATGGTCGAATAGGCCTGGGAATATAACTTTGTACCACAAGTTCCAGATTTCTCAGGTACTATTCAGTCAGGTAGGTAGGCAAAAGTTAAAGAGGTTACAGTAGGTATTCTTATAGAGTTTTTATTCTTGTTAATTTTTACAGCTCCGTAAAATGCAGAAGTGGTTTATTGGTCAATTATGCAGATTCTATATCTTTATATTTTACTATCATTATCATTTCTCAATTGGGACAACCCTGAATGCACACATACATGCACATCAAGCACCACTTTGTGTTGTCGCTGTGATACACTACCTCCATTTGGGACCATTAAAAATAGCAACACAGCAAAAAAAATAACAATTTGATGAACTTTAGGGAGGGGAGGATGTAGGGTGGTGTCAAATAGCTCCCCGGTGTCTTGAATTGTTTCTCACAACAGGGTTTGGTCAAATTCAACGTGATTGCTCTGAAACTCGCTGTCCACACTCGCCCCCGTTCACATGGAGCAATCTAAGTGGGGTTGATCATTCCCACTGCTCTTGTGTGACAAACGATGAGCAGCTCAAAACCAAAGGAATAAACCGTATGGTCATGAGAACCTGTTGTCCACCTATGATAGTATGGACATGGTATTGAACTGCGTTACAACGACTCTATCTCGGTTGCGGTTGAAATAACGAGAAATATTAGAAACACACTTGCGAATCACAATTCCTTGACCCCAGAAACAGAATCCTTTGTATTATGTATGTGGTGGATACCACTTGTATCTCCTAAAACGTACTGTCTGTTCTAGTAGGAGCCATATCGTTCCGCTTTTTCTTATGTAATTCAACTGCACGCTTAAACCTCTTCCGGGAGCAGGAACCGTCTACCCCGAGTGAATATATTAATATGTAGTCCAGAATGTAGTTAATAAGTTGGTTTGTTTCCATACTTCTGTGAAATAGAAGCTCCTCCTCACAGTGATAATAATGATGCTTGGAGGGCACCTGTTTTGAAACGAATAAATCTCAACTTTTGGCCACCTAAATTTGCACTGCTTTCAATGGTCCTTGAGGTATTTTGAACAAGTATGCGGGTGGCTGAAGCACATAAGCATAACGTCCGACGCCAGGTAGCTCCCGTCTATTCACATATTTGTCGAAAGAGAGCTTTGAAAAAAAGCTGATTATCCGAAAATATGTACATGTCAAACACAAGCGAGGGACATCTGTTTTCCTGAGGGGTGATGGAGTGTATGGTCCGTGAGCATTTTATAGCATTGGACACAAGTCAGACTTGCTGGTACTTGAGATAGTTTGGGATTTTTGCGAACTGAATAAATCCGTTTGCAATACACTGCGTCGAAACTGCAGACAACTACAGCACAACATTGGGCCAGATTTAACTGGCGCCTAAATGCACCTGCCAGGGATGAGAACGATGGTTGTCCCAGAACTCCCAATCTCTGTACGTTCCACGTAAGTAATGCATTGAAACTGGTCCATGCACACATGCCGTATCAGATTTCTTTGAGAGCGTCGTGATGGAGGTCGCGTATCTGCCCTGTTCTTGATTGATGTCCTATGAATAGCCTTTCTTGGAAATGGGGTAGGGAATTACCTGTGCTCTTTCAAGTCTCATACAGGACTCAGTCACGTTAATGAGCAGCTTGTGTATCCTTTTGGTAACCAAACAGATACCTTCATGATATGTGCATATATATAAATATATATATATATATTTAGGAATGGCTGTAGATACCATTACTCTATATGTGAATATGAGTTATTTTACCGTACAACTCGCCAGGTCAACGTTGTTTTCACGAATAGCTCGGGTGTTGGTTCTGATAACGTAGCAGCTTCTGTCCAAATCTCTCATTCCTTCTTCTGTTCGGGTAGTCATCGGAAACTCGCTGCATATCGAACCTACGTAAATACAACATTTATACCAGTATAGTCTCAGTGGTTTAATGCTGAACTCCAGTAGATTCTAGGGCTACTTGCATGAACATTCAGCCTAGTGTGTCCATACGCTCATGAGAGATAGGTGGGCAAATGAATATAGTGGCACACTAACTTATCCATCTAACAGTTACATTTTACCCGGGGTTTCCTCTCTTTTAGCCACGGCATTACGGTTCAGGTTTCCACACAAAGTCGTCAAGCAATCAATTGCTTGATTATTTTCGCGAAATTTTTCATGTAATCTAGTTTGTCGATAGGATTAAAACATACGGTAGAACACAAAAGGTTGATACCTCCTCGTAATCATTGAATACAAATTACAAACCATCGCGAAAACAGAAAAATGGTTTTACTTCGATTCATGGTATCTTTCATTCGCATCAAACACCACCGTCATTCCTATGAAAATAGCAACCACTTTAAAATCGACCGGAGCTAAATATATCGCGACAAATTGTCGGACGAAAGCAGTTGAAATTCCAATATACGATGTTTAGGTTTCGTACTACGTGGATGCGGAAAAAATTGTTACTCCAAGGTCGGAATTATTTTATCAAACGCATTTAAATGAATATTTATTGTTAATACCGTTAGCAAATTGCGTAAATGTTCTTCTTGTGATGTCCGTTGATTTGCACCAAATTTCGCACGGATCGTATCAGTTCGATCGAGGACAGACAAGCAAGAACAGCCCCGTATCGGCCTTACAACCTTGCCGCAGACAAACACATCCAAACGCACACATACATATGCGCACAACTGGTATGCAGAAATTGCTTGTTTTTCGCGTTACTTCCGTTGACGTTTGATCGGACAGACAGCCCAGGAAAACGCGCACTAGAAGTTGATTGGTCTTTAACCTGGACCAATCAAGGCGCTCCAACACAAATTGTCTCTGGTCCCAATTTCTCTTCACCGCATCGCTCGTCCGGTTGGGGCAGACGACCCAAAAAAGGGCACATACGCACGCACGTGAACATGCTCATGTGCACACAACCTACCGATGCACATAGTCACAAAACACACCACATTTCATTCTGTTCCCAATCGAATAACGGGTTAGCGGAGTGAGTGAGTGAGTGAGAGGGACAGCGAGAGTTAGAGAGAGAGAGAGAATTACATCATGTTGATGTTGATGATGCTGGTAAGGTAAACAACCTTGTCCATCTGATTCTGCGCCACAGGTCGGTTATGGTACACAAATGTGGAGATATACCATGGACGCACAAGTGCACACACACACGCACACAAGGTGCACAACGTGTTCATCATCGGCCGTTACCGTCACCCCACTATCTCCCTTTGCATGTGAACGTATAATATGGGCATTCATCCACTAGCTGAGAGATACATAAACATGCCGAGGTGAGAAAACTCTGATTTTATTCATCTCTACTGGACACACAGAGTGGTCATTTATTGTTGGACAGAGTGACAACTCCAGGCCATTGGTACGACGAGGCTAATCTAACCAGATAACAGCAATAATTTATCGCATACGGTAGTGCGAAATTGGATCATTATATTGTGCTGCTACCCGTGACTGTCAGAATGGAAGAACAATTGTGGGCACACGCTTATTGGAGTCTATTAGATGCGAATTGGAAACGAGCATTGCTTCCGTTGGATCCAGGTGTCATTGGGCCATGCACAAATCATAACATGAATACGACCACAACCGCCGGCTTACCTCTGTCCACTCACGGACCAGTATCTGTCCTGACTCCGACAAACAGCTTAAATTCCATGTTTATGGATTGCAAAATGCCCTCATGCACATTTCGTCCATACTCTGATCGACCGAGTGCAATCCGCGAGGACGTTGAAGACGCAGCCGAGGAATTGGACCCGGATGAATTACGTTTTCCAATGAATGTGTCACGTGTGTGCACCCAGGTGGGGTTGACATCATCGATACATTGGATTGAGGAGCGGAACAAGAAATCGAAACCATTTCGTTCTACTGGGTCCGGTCATGGCACCAAAACAGGTCGAACAATGCGAACACAGTCGGTCAAACCACCGTATTCCTACATCGCCCTGATCACGATGGCCATACTACACTCACCGCATCGACGTCTCACACTGGGTGGAATCTGTGATTTCATTATGGCCCGTTTCCCCTACTATCGGGAACGTTTTCCTGCCTGGCAGAATTCAATTCGACACAATTTATCTCTAAACGATTGCTTTATCAAAATACCCCGTGAACCAGGTAATCCCGGTAAAGGCAACTATTGGATGCTTGATCCGAACTCTGTGGATATGTTTGACAACGGGAGTTTTCTACGCAGACGAAAACGTTACAAACGTCTTCTGAACGATCCCGTGCCAAACACGGGAAATTCGATCGGGAAACCTCTTATACCATATTTAGATCACACGCACCCCGCTCCACCATTACCCGATCATTCCACATCATCTATCGGTGACTGTACCGAACTACGATCTGACACTCCTGACGGTGTTGACGGGAACACATCAGTCCATATATCGAACTACAACAGCCCAACTTATGCGGACCAGCCGAATTCAGGTCATCCACATACCGATCCGGATCGTTTGAACATTCCTCGGGAACAGTCTACACCGAAGATGCACCCACCAGATTCTGCACAATTTCAAACTTTTCCCAACTGGTCCACATCCCAAATCAAGTCATGCAATGCTGATACCATTCCCCTACCACCCCTTTTAAATTTGAGCACCTCCGGCATTCCGTCTGAAAATGGACATTCTCTCACAGATCCGACAAATGCATTTACTCTACTCGTTCGATCATTCCTGGCCAGTGGTCATTGCTTACTTAACTCATGTACCGTGCCTGCAAGCCCGGCCGCCCTTGGATTCGATCGACCGGAAGAATGTGTGAAGATGAGCAAATCCGGATCTGGAAATTCATTTAACATTGATCGACTCCTAAGCTCTGAGGCAGCAACCGGCACTAAGCTAATAACGCGATCGACGGTGACAACTGTCAGTACAAACAGTGCGGAAAAACAAGTGTCAAGCTCCGGTTCCCGATCCAATATTCCCGCGGGTTCAATGTCCCATGCCTCAGGCATGTTGATCACATCCAGTCATGTGGATTCGATGAATTGTTTGCCAACAGAGAATCCAGTGCTTGATCCTCAAACGGTCGACGGGGGAACCGGTTTGTTTCTATTGCGTAAGTCTGATTCCAGTGCGATGCGTATTTCGCCACCTGAATCGAAGGCGTTTGAATCCTTTCTACGCTCCATATTTTCCTCTGGACAACCAATCACTGCAGACACTATGTACAGAATTTGATCCTTATGAAACAAACTGCGTCTATATATGTATACAAGGCATACTGTGTGATGTACATTACAATTTGAACAAGTAACAGTATCTTATCATATTTATATGTACACACATATATCACATTACGACTATCTTTATCTTACCATAGATTGATCATGCAACAATGGTTTGAGTGTTTTTTATAATGTATTATAACTTTATTTCATCCGTACCCGTACATTTTTTTCTGGTTTTTGTGCGCAACTCGATATGTAACGAGAGAAATTGTAAACAAACCTGTCAGCTCATGAAACACTCGCAAACGTTGATGTTTAGGATTATACTCGTTCCCTCGTACATCAGTACTGGTTTCGAACAACGAACGATCACGATGAAGGGTTGACTGAGTTTTCAGAATGACATATAACAATTTCGTAGGCAAGTATCCTGGATTAGTTTTTTACTTTTTTAAGCACCTCAGCTTGATTTAAAACGGTGTGGATCCCATAGTCACGAAGACTTGCTCTTCAGTGATGCAACCCAGGCCTCGGGAGTTCAAGAGGCGATTCACAAAAGGCCCGCTAAGTTAGGCGTGATTTTGAGCCGGAAGAGAGCAAAGCTGCCTACCAGCAAAGGTGAGTGGCGATTGCGGGGCTCGAACCTTGGAACATAGGGTCCAAAGCACACCGATGATAGTGAAATACCACTACGCCACCGCCATCAAAAGGTTCTGTAGTGTGGAGATGAGCTGAAACCTCCACTTTATAAATTCTTTATAAGAGAAACAACTGAGGTATGAAGAAATGCCATATCCCGTTTACAGCAATTTTTCACAGACGCCAGTTTAATTGGGATTATATTCTTCGGTTTAAGCGTTTTGTAGTTGTGTGAATTTAATTTTTTGTGTTGACAACACGGAAAGAGGTATGCATCTTTGATTGGTCCACAATCCGGTAGGTGTTGTAAATTACACACTGGTTACGTCACTAGGGTGTCACAGTAATAGGCTACGTCCATTTATTCAGTGATGAAATATACCCCCAGATTATGCAATAGCGTGCTGTTGTCCAATCAAATGAATTCCAGGTGAACCACAGCCCTGGCATGAAGCTGGAGGAGGTTTCCCGATATATGTCCATTAGAGAGTTGGGTAGTTTTCTCGAGTTTGAACAGAACGACTGAAAGAATTTCATTGAATGAGTGGAGCTCGATCTAAGCAGTTTGGATTGAACACCGAAAGACGCTGATTTTTGAGTTGCAACAGAGTTCTGAAACTTCCTAGTTTAAGGCAGCCTGATGCCTACTGATAGTCTACCATAGATGAATCTCGACGACCGGTGACTAATCATCTGACTTTAGGAATACATATATTTTCACACCCGTCTGACTGCGTCAAACAAATCGCAGTACAGTAATCTTTATGAACCGATAAGGTTCCGTGAATTGCTTGTGGGAGCGATATCGTCAGATTGCCCGGGCCAAAGGAGGTGCATTTTCTCGGCTAATTCACAACGGGAACCGTTGACAAGCCTAAGCCTGAACCGAAAGGTATGATAGTGTGTGAACCTCGCAATCCATTTGGGCCGGTGTCCAGTTCATCGAATCATACGCCCTTTGAATGGAATCGAACGTCCAAGATGCCAAATAAACCTCGATACCCAACCGAGTGAGTGATCACCAACACAACCAAGAAGGCTGGGAAAACGTCCGCCACGTACTTGCAGTGAGAAGAGTTAACTCAGCAGAGATCATTAGAGGCACTTTTGTAGTAGAGCATTTCGCGAGGTGCAAGGAAAAGGGGACCAATCACAACCGAAGAACCCCCCAAACCCTAATGAGTTTTTGGAGCATATACAACAAGAATTTCGAGAGTTTTTCCTACACTTTTGCGATAGAAGATGCCAAAGAAGAGTAACAAGGTACGAAAGCATATAGCAGGCACTATGAAGAAGTGGAAATCTTGCAATCAGTTAGGTACCAGTGGGCTTATTTCTTTGTGGTAAACAACATTCGTTCAATTAACTGAAATTGGTGACTTCACCCCTTAGGCTTATTTCTATACTGCTATATAATATTTGACACCAAGTCTGAGTTCCTAATGTGAGCCAGATAAATCACGGTTCGAAAATCTTTTTGAAGAAGCAATCAGTCCACGACTTGCTCAAGCTTGGATTACTACCCGGTTGTTCAGGCCGAAGCAGATGAATTTTCGTGAACAACTCAGTACCGAAGTCCTTGGCTGGCCAAGCTTCATCGAGTGCAGTGCGGTACTTGAGAACCACATCCCATTTCGGTTCGATCCGTCATTCATCGGATAATGCATCCCTTTTGGATGGGGTCAAACGTTCATGGTCTCCATTTTACCCTAAAATCTAATCGAACCGGTGACGATCTCCAGAACATGGAAAGTTTAAGATGGTTTATAAGCCTCTTCTAGGTTGTCCTGACTCAGAGGTTTTAGTCTACTCATCTAGGTGAACAATCAGTGGTTCAGCGACCAAGTTACAGTCCTGAATTTTGGTTTTTGCCCTTACCACTTCGGTGGAGAAGCACATCGACCACGTAGATGTAGTGAGTAGGGCTTTCTCAGTAGGGGCATTTTAAACGCTTGGTCGCACGACAGTATTTCGCGGAATACAGGGGAAATGTGTCCCGTCATAAGTTGAGGATTTCAACCCTGACTATACTGGAGCTTTGAGTGAAAAATAGAAGCTACTTGCTTAGGTTCCCTTGAGTATCTGTCATCCAACAAGTATATCTATTTAGGCTAAGTCAATGGGCAATAAAGATACGTGATCCGATGTGAATGATTATGGGTGTACAGGGGTGGTCGAGTTTCAAGAAACGAATCAACAAATTCGATTGTTTTAACCTTTATCTTCTTATCCTGATGAAGGCCAATAATTCAACTGTTTTCAAGTGGTCATACTCGATAAGTTTGCCAAATACGAAGGAAGGTCAGAGTAATCTGTTGATGACTAAGCTGAAAGCTCCAAGCTCCAAGGAAGTAAGTGTTGAATTTTGTTACCCGAAAGATATTTTGGCCTCCCAAACATTGTTCACATATTCAGCGTGATGTTCGAACGGATTAAGTTGTAGTCATTGGCAAGCTTCGGGCTTTGTAGTCTCAGGTTCTTAGTTCACCATCCTCGACTCAGTGGAACACCTATCCTGCTGATGTGGTTCACCAAGTCACGTATTGGTGCTCAAGTTGATGGTTTCACGGCACAACCCAATGGCGTATACCGTGCACGATGATTCAAAATAAAACAGACGATCCACGAAACAAAATAGGTCATTTTCCGGGTTCATTGATTGATGAATTCGATAAAGCTCTATAGCGTGCTTGCATGAAGAAGCGATGGTTATGTAGTGTAGCCTTCAAGCAAATACATTATACATGGAGAAAGGGAAAGACGAAAAATACTGAGCAGTATTTTAAGGTCCCAGTAGTGATATAATCCATAACCCAATCAAAATAGTTATTGTTCGTGGTTTGTAGGGAGACGATAAGGCAGCCGATAAAAACGAGTGATGCTTGTCCGGACTTTTGTGGTCCTGTTGATAAATTGCACGCATTTTACCACATATCCTACTGAAATATATCATGATAGTGTGTCCCATACGAACTGTCCGATAGATGCCGTGTTAGTTGTGTGGTTTATCTCCTCAAGCCTTTACAACTATGAATTTGGGGTGTCTTCAGTTGTCTCATCTTGGTGGCGAGACTAAAATTATCACATTTTTGTACCACAATCCGTTCAAGATCTGCCGGAACACTGTTGTTCTTATGAAGCAGAAAAAGTTTCAGATGTGAGGATGAAAAAAGTCGTCAAAATCTCATTAACGTAAATAAAATGGCTTCACAAAGAACTGATTAAAATTGGGATTACTCAAAATGTTCGAGTTGGACGGCGATATCACAACTCTTGCAAACAAACCTCTCAGGGACTAGTATCCGATAAAGTCTAATGTATAATTTATCAGCGATCGTTGAGGTACAAATAACGAACGATTGAATAAGTGGAAAAGATAGATAGATGTGGCTAATTAATTAGTCAAGATCACTCGGAAACGTTGATCGAGAGGCTAGGTGCATCAAGGAGTTAATAATAATCTACTGATTAATAGGACCATACGTTTAATGACAACGATAAATGGTTTCTGCGAGATATAGCAATGGTGTAATGCAGTCTATTGTGGAACAGCTTGAACAATTCGTATGGACAGTGCAGTGGTTTAAAAAACCCTCGTACTTTGGTTTAAACGAGACCACGACTGATAACCCCTACTGAGTCAGTTCAGATAGTTGTTCGAAGAGTTTCTTACAGCAACTGACAATGCACGCACAGTGTTACAAACCAGCTCTGTTTGGTTGTCGGCTCAGCGGATTTCGGTTTTGTCCTGATTACCTTTACTTGTCGGACGCAGTAGAATAGTCATCGAAATTTCCTCAATCAAACTGATACCATACAATGTCCCCAATGTGTTTTTAATGTGGATTGAAAGAAAATCGTGATTGACCCGTCTAGAATGGAGATATCATAGGTGAAGAGGCGTTCGAAAACACGAATGAAACAATGAAAGTGTCAGAAAAACGGCAAAGTAGAACTAGACGACACTCGTTAGTGATTTTGTGGGGCTGGTAGGAGAGACAATGTTTAAAAAATTGCATATATGTTTATGGAATGCAGTCGAAACGTTTAAGGGTTCATGTATGGTTCCAAGCGTTCTGCACTGAAGGGACATTAAGTGATCAGCTGAGCTACGCTTTATTGCATATTCCTATTGCATTACCGGTTTGTCCGTGAATTCCTGAGCTAACCTTAACGATTTTCAGTGGTGTTTACAAAATTGTGGTTTGCTGTAAAACGACGAAAGTGACTATGCCCGCATTGAAAACCACTGTGCTTTTGGCTGTTCTATTCAAAGTGAAAAGGGCCTGCGGATAAAACAATCAGCTATATTTGTAACAGAGAAGAAAGTGAGTATAGTTGATGTAGTGATGGTGTGAATGAATGCTTCTC